ACATCAAGGCTTTTGAAGATACTTTTGTAACCCTTTCCAGCTTCATGCAAGTCAACAATTCTTGATCGTAGGTCTTCTGAGAGCTCTTTTCTGCGAGGCATGGTTCACATCAGACAGTGCTTCTTGAAACCAGTAAACCCAAAACAGGTGTGTGTTTTTTAAGGGCAGGACAGCTGTCAGCAACACATCCAATATCATCACACTGATTGGAGTCAAGGTTGGCTCACTCCTGGCTCCAATTAGCTCTGGGAGAAGTCATTAAGCTAGGGCCTCACATACTTTTTCCTCCCTGCACTGTGAATGTTTACATGTTATGTGCAATTAAACCATGGCAACATCTAATGTTTGTGTAGTATTATGTTCAGCAGACTGTGTTCTTCTATTGTTGTGACTTAGATGACGTTCAGAGCACATTTTATGCCCAAATCATGCAAAAACTCCATGCAGTCCCAAGGGGTTCACATACTTTTTCTTGCAACTGTAGCACCTCAAAGGCTACCACAGCAGTATTTATTGTGGACATAATAAATGTAAAAATTCACATATTCCATATAAATGCATGTACTCCAACCCTATCCACCTCTCCACCCCCCACCAGTCCCCCCCCGACCCCACACCCCCAGTACCACCCCGACAGACCCCCACTCCACTCAAGAGCACCCAGGGTGTGTCATACCTACTGGATGATACCTTCTCACCCATCTTTTCCACAGAGAACACACACAACACATTGCTGCTTTTCTGCTGCCATCTTCTACAGTGACAGCCACATGAACATGTTTAACGCCTGAGCTATAGCAGCTCCTATATCTGGACATACAAAACCACATCTATTCCAACCTTCATTCTATGGGTACCCCACTGGAGTTCTCTTGCTTAGCAATGATGGATCACATTTACAAGGGAGCTGGAACAAAGGGGACAATAGCATGTGAACCGCAGGAGGCCTACAGGAAGCTCAAATCATCATTTAGGGTGATAGCTGGTCCCTTGTTCAAAAGAAATGTCTTATTATGATACTGATTTATTTTCTGTAAAGCTCACACTCAAGTACACACAATGTAGCCTGCCTGACAAAAACAGATCTCTCTACCACTATTTGTGAATTCTTTAAAAACTCACTTTATGAGGACCAGCTCAATCCTGGAGGGATTTTAATTCCTCCTAAGATTTCTTTCTGAAATTTATCATGAATGAAAGGAATTTAAGAAGAAATGGACTGTCCCACTAGTGGGTCCTGCCATTTCAGTTCTCTCTCAACACTTTTTTGTTCCTATTGAGGATGTTTTCTTTTTAAAGGATTCTGTTGATGAGTGTCTGGAATTATTCTTAAAGGTCTTCTTTGCCCCTGCAGGTCCTGCCCATGACCTAGCTATTGCTCTTTTCCTTTTTGGTAAAGACCTATTGCGCAGGGATATAACACCTTTTACTGGGTGCAATTTTACCCCTGAAGAAGAAGCCTACGTTTTCCATTCTTATGGCTGCTACTCAGTGAAAGAGTTCTTTTTACTCTCCTGAGTCATCTACTTACAAACCAAGGCATAGCACCTCGTTTCATCTCAAGCTCTGGACTCACAAACATGCCCAGAACCTCTACTCACAATGGCGTTTTCTGAGATGTCTTTAACCTCTATGTCTGGCCTGTCATTTTAAAGGGGTACAAAATATAGTTTTCATCTCTGCGCCCTCCTCACGTTCTGCCAGCTTCAGACCAAAATAGGTTTTTCATGGTACAAGGTGGGGTTGTACAACTTCCTGCCTACAGAAAATTAGTTTCAAGGTATCCATGCAAACCTATTCACAGTCTCAAAACCAAATGAAGGCCTCTGTCCAATACTAGACTTAAAATCTCTCATGTCAAAATGAAACTGCTCATTTAGCTTCTGCATGACATCATGGACATGATTGTAGCCTGCTTCGAGCCAGACAAAAACTCACCCTGACATGGTGGATCTCAAGTCCTTCCCTGAAGTTGAAAGTTTTGCTTTACACTCCCTGGAAGGATGACATCCTTACAAGCTGGGGAAGAATTTACAATGCTCTTAATGTCCAGGGGACCTGGTGTCAGCAGGAGTTAACATTCTGGAACTGGGACCCTTCAGAATGACTTTGCCTGACTGGACCTCTCTCCTGCAAGGTCACCCACTCAGGGTACAATTAGACGTTGCCATGCCAGTGGCCTACAGAAATGATCTGGGGGGGAGTGAGACTGCTCATAAACAGACAAGTCTGATACTTTCCTTGGTGGAAACCCACATACTAGCTCTCTTGGGCTGTCCACATCCAAGGAGTGGACAATTGGTTTGCAGACACCTAAACCCATATAAGTGCTCTTTGCAGCCAGATATCTTTCAGAATCTCTAATAAAGGTGGGGAAAACCAGATGTGGACATCCTGGCCTTCAGACTCCATACTAGCTGAACAAGTGTGTGGCCAAGACCAGGGCTCTGGCCTTCACAATGGATGGCTCTAGTGATTCCTTGGACTCAATTCAGACTGGCTTTTGCCTTCTCTCTGATGAAGATCCTTCCCTGCACTGCTGTGCAAGACAGAGGGGGAAAGAGTTCTAGTAATTCTCATCCCATCAAATTGGGCAAGAAGAACATGGTACGCAGATATACTTGGGCTACTGGCCGAAGGACCTTGGCCTTTTCCAAACAGACACAAAATGCTGTACCAAGGCCTCCATCCTACTTCTTAGTCACTGGCTTTATCTGCAATGCTGTTGAAACCCAAGTGCTAAAAGATGGGGGTATTTCTGACACTGTTATTCCCACTTACACCACCCACTGAGAGCAAAAAAAAACAACTCCCACAAGAGTTACAGTTGCACACGGAAGGCTTACTTTACCTGGTGTGAGGACAGGGAGTTGAGTACCAGGGAATACTCTTATTACTCAAATTTTGGCCTTTCTTCAGACTGGTCTTGACCAGTGCCGGGCCCTGAATACCAACAAAGGACATATTTTTTCTTTAATTATCTTTTTCCAAAAACCTCTTGCCTTTCAATCCCCTATCTTTTCTTTAAGTTGTTGCTCCCATAAAGTCCGTTGCACCTGGGAGTAAAATATGCTGAGTTTTTTACTGATCTGAAATGAGGTGCATTGTTGTCTATGGGACATTGCACAAAGCTGAGTAAAGATCAGTAGTACAGAGTTGTGTACACAGCAGTAAAACAAAAACAGAGAATTTTTCATTTTAGTGCAGTAAATTACGTGTGTGTTTACTCGTTTAGACCCCTTGCCCACTAGCATCATAATTTACTGATGTTTATTCAGGAACTTGTGACACCCATGTGCAAGGGACCACAACACTGGCAATGAAGAATAATTTTACTTGTCTGTACTCATCTATACGCTTACATACCTTTATCACCTATATTCAAAAGTACTCAGGTTTTTATACACAGTTTTTTGCCCCTTTTCACACGAGTGTCACAAGTTCCTGAGTAAACATCAGTAAATTATGACGTCCCACCAAAATCCATCAATTTGACCTCCTGTTTCACTTTGGTATCTCAGCCTGGCACTCTCTACTTCAGAGACCTTCCTTTGAACCAATTAGAGATTTTGAGTTGGACCGCGCTTGTAAGATCACCATTCTGGTAGCCATTACATCTATTAGGCATGTTTCTGAATTGGCTGAAGTGGTTTTGAGACCGAAATCTTCCTTCCTACCCAAGATGGTTTCAATTTTCCACCTCAAGGGGACATTTTTCTTCCTTCCCTCTGTACTGCCTCAAAACATGACAAGAAAAATTGCCTTTCATATCCTGGTCAGGGCTGTCAGGGTTTACATGAAACTACGACCTCTATTAGAAAAACTGGTTGCCCTCTTTGTCCTGCCCGTGGGCCCTCATAAAGCACATCCTGCTTCTGTTTCCACTCTAGGTGGATTAGGCAACTTATTTCCAGGGCATACAAACTTAAGGAGATAGTTCTTCCTTTCTCTATCAGAATCCGTTCCACCAGGGCTGTTGGTGTTTCTTAGGCTTTTCAGCATCTGCTCCCTAGATTTGCAAGGCCACCGCCTGATCCTCTGTTCTCCAGGTTTTACGAGGTGGAAGTTCCAGTATCAACTGGTGTGAGCTTCAGGTACTTGAAACTGTTATCTGAGTGCATTGTTTGGGTTCTTTAACCCTTGTTTTTTGGGGCCTGTTGGCAGTCCTGTTTTCTCTGTTGTTATCCACCCCTCAGTTTGTTGCTTGAGTACATCCTATGGTCTATGAATGCAAGTCTTGTACTCTTATGATTAGGATTAAAGGAATTTTGACCTGCCTGTAAATTCCACTCCTTGGATATAGACCCCCCCCCCCTTTGTGTTTTGATCACTCTATATTGCTTGCTAAAAACTGAAGTTACATGGAGTGGGTGGAGTTTAATGGTGCACTCTGTTGGTACTGTGTTCCAGATCAGGAATTCATAGTTAAAGCTTAATTTTTCAGACTAAAGATTAGAAACGATTTGCTTCCTAAAACAATAAAAATATTGCCTTTGATAGCTTCTGAATGTAAGTATGATATAGAAAGTAGGCATTTCCATGGCAACTAAGGAAAGCAAAATTAGTAAAAAATAAAAAAAAAGTGAAGTTTAAAACTGGCTAAATATGGAAGTGCTTGCTCTGTAACTGGCTGCTGAAATGTTAAAGAAGGTGAGATAGTAGGCATGGTTGACATAAAAGCATCTGCTATCTGCATCCCTTGCAGTTTAATGAAAATGAAACCAGTTAGCATAGAGGAGACTCATAGAACCATATTAGAAAAACAAACCATTTTACAGATAGACCTTGACCATTATATAAACCTGGAAAGATGGCTTTCTCTTTTCACCATGCTTTGAAGAACTGTAAAGAAATCTATTTTTAGCAGCATAATGAACCTTTGCATAGCAATCTAACCAGAATATTGCTAGCAGAAGTTAATATATATTAACAAATTGATGGTATGATAATCAGATTATAACTCATAACTTAAATAACCATGCTATTTTTTTTGTGTGCAGGGCTATCAAAGGAAAGAAGCCAGCTTTATTTGTCCCTCTTATACCACTAGGAATTGTTGGTGCATACCAGTATGATATGGCCTATGGGACCCTAATTCGAAGGATGAAAGGTATAAATTCATCTTACTTAGTTTACCATACACAATTTTTGCTGTTCCTCATTGTCATAACACTCTGCGGAAATAATGTGAAACTTAATTGCTTTCGGGATTCATGGGTTCTTGCACATCATAGCACCCATCCTTCATTGTGTCCTCCTCCATTGAAGCAATGTCTGGACTTTGCTTTGTCGCTTTGTTACTGCCACTGACATCTTCTGCCAGGATCCAGCATTTTCTGGATTGGCCATTGGACAGCCATTGATGATGTATCCCCTGATCAAGATTGCTGGGGTTTTATTACAAATAAAATTCAATAATTATATTGAAGAGGGAGCTTTATGCAACATACCTAAGAATGTTGACAAGCTCATTGCCTTTGTTTGCAAAAGCCTTGGCATTGTGCAGGTTGACTCTGTTTCGCCACTCCCCCTTGGGCACTAAGAGACCTACAAAAGCTCCCAAAATGTTACCCGTTCATGAATAGATAGAATGTGCTGTCTGATGATTGGGTTGCCCCTGAAATTTTCAGCCCCCCAGAAGTCTGCTGAATTCTATATAATTGTACAAGAGTCTACAAAGAGTGGGCTATTCCTGTAGTCGACCCTGTCGTCTCTGTCCTAAATCAACATCTCACTGTACGTAGTAAAGATGTTCCTTCTTCTAAAGAGGAGAGAAAATTTGAGACTCTCTTAAAAGCTTTCTTTAACCTGGAAGGCCCAGGCCTGCAACCAGCACTTTCCTCTATTTCTTTGTGTCACACTACACCTAACTGGACTAAGACAGTGAATAACGAACATGACCCTGTTTTTCAGGATTTTGCTGTTGCAAAGCAGTTACAGCAACTGCCCTCTGCCCTCCTTTTCTGTGTAGAAACCCTGGAGTATGTCATGAGACAAATATCCAGAATGATTTCCATCTCTCAATGGTGCTTGAAAATCCCAGTAGATCAGCAGTTTTTGAAATACTCAGACGAGTCTGTCTGGCACCAACAACCATGCCATGTTCAAAGTCACTTAAATCCCCTTTCTTCCCCATTCTGATGCTCGGTTTGAACTTTAATAAATCGTCTTCACCACATCTTGATGCCTAAATGCATCGAGTGACTGCCATGTAATTGGCTGATTAACAATTTGTGTTACCAAGCAATTAAACAGGTGTGTCAAATAAAGTGGCCGGTCAGTGTGTGTAAAAACATACAAGCCACATATTTAGAATATCCTAAAATTCACATTCTCTCAGGGCTCTCTACCGCTTCCTCAAGAGTATTTGAGAGAATGTATTATTGAAAAAATAAATAAATAAAATATATATATATAATATATATATATATATACGCACACTAATACCATATATGTAGAAAATAATCCATAAATCAATTAAAGAGGGGTGGGCTTACCCAGCACACCCAAATTGGTCAGCACACGTGATGTGGCGTCCCAATCAGGTCTATCCGGTGAGTGTGGGAACAATGTACAGGACCTGGTAGCTATATAAAGAAACCATTATCACATTATTATAACCATACTGAACACAAATTATTGTACCATCACTATTTGATCAAAGAGAAAAGCATACGCAACATAACTGAATTTCACAGAGTACTCAAACGGAAGGTGAACAGAAAAGTTGAACAAGGATACACAATGCAGGATTCACTGCTCTTACAGCAGATAACCATTCGATGCATGAATCTATAAAGAGAATATGCATATCCTATGGCAGCAACAGTCTATGTGTCCAGTAGCAGCTAACTAGATCTCACCTTATAAATAAAGAAATCTTGTTCTCTTCATATAACCATGGTGAGTCATTCCCCTTTTAAAATTGTACAGCACCAAAGACAATGATATGTTCCCTAAAACCAGAGAACAAAAAAGACCATAAACCCTCCTACACATGAAAATGTCTGGTCAAAACCCACACTTCGTCATCAAATTGCTTTAACCGCTTCCCGCCCCCCTATAGCAGAAATACTGCTAATATATATAGACGTGATTTTGCATTTGTGGGTAGAAGGCGCCTCCATTATGTCAATGTACCTAGTACCTAAAGGTTTGAATGTCGAATTTGATGTCAACTTTATAGACTAAATTGTAAATGATTGCGGTATTTGGTGCATATTCTGTATATGGGGTCGAAATTTCCACGTTACAATATCAAATTAGTTATTTTGGGGACTCATATATTTGGAAATCTGTAAATAGTATATTGGTATAGACTCATCTTATATTAGCTGTACTGCTTGATGATGGGGAGTTGCCTTGGTAACCATTCACTTACACAGCTACAAATACATATCATGTCACTACTCCACGTACCCTCTGATGAAGCCACGTGGGCATAACGTGTAAGGGTGTGGAGAGAGTGATACTTCTAACCACTGTTGGCACCCATGGGGGTGAATTAGACAGGAGGAAACCAGGGGATGCGAGCAAGGGAGGGAGGATGCTGACTTGTGGTACACACTATGGTAGCATTGTTTCCTACATATACATCAACAATATATAGGCACCAGAGGCTTTGAGCATCCCAAGATGAAGGAAATCCCCATAACCTAGGGAGAATAGGGTTAAAGGCACAACTAGACTGAAAATTAGTAGGTCTATTCATCGGGTGAGATGCTGATGGTGACGGTACCCCACAAGTGGTGATTTTATTAATTACAGCTTCATGCACACAAATGGGTTGGATTCAATCTGTATGGAAGTTGACAAGGACTTTTACTTATGAGGATTTTAACTATGAGGTTTTATTTTAGATATAGAGGGATCCAGTTTTCTTGTGTTTATTGGACTTTTATAGGATCTCAACATTGTGATACATGCAACTCTGTCCTGTCACCATATTTCTCTCATTCGTTCTTTTAGAGCATAACATTGGTTGTAGTGTTCATTTTGGTGATTGCGCACAGGTTTTACTTATTTATTCATGCTGCTGTGTATTTCTCTTCACAGCAGAAATACACCGCAGCATTTTTCCCTAGTAGAACAGTAAAACAGCACACAGTTAACCCTTTAATTGCCCCAGATGTTAACCCCTTCCTGTATTAGTGTCATTGGGATGTCAGTGGCAGTTAGTCTCCCCCCCCCCCCCCCCCAGTGCCAGAATGCCCGCTGCAGTCTGGCTATAAGTTGCTGATTGCTGCCATTACTAGTATAAAAAAAAAAATAAAAATGAAAATTCCAATATACTGTATATACCGCCATTTGTAGACGCTATAACTTTCATGTAAACCAAATAATTTACATGTATTAGGATTTTCTTTAGCAAAGACATGTATCAGAGTACATTTTGGCCTAAATTTATGATGAAATTTGATTTTTTAAATTTTTTTTACTGGATATGTTTTATAGCAAAAAGTAAAAAACATTGGGGATTTTTTTCAAAATTTTCTGCCTTTTTTTGTTTATAGCGGAAAAAAATAAAACCGCACGGGTGATCAAATACCACCAAAAGAAAGCTCTATTTGTGGGAAAAAAGGGACATAAATTTAATTTATATACAGCGTTGCATGACCGCGCAATTGTCAGTTAAGGTAACGCAGTGCCGTATCACAAAAATTGGCCTGGTCAGAAAGAGGGGTAAATCCTCTGGAGGGCAAGTGGTTAGTTTACCTGCAAACAGAGACCCACACCATATCTGTCCACCTCCAGAAAGCATCCACACAGCCTGGAGGAGTACACCTCCTTAGGTACTTGTTCCTGCCCGGCACATCCCACCACAGCTGCTGCTGATGGCAGTAGATGTTTCCAGACCTGAGCCCAGTCTGTGAATGCGCCAATGATGATGCACCCATAGTGCCAATTGCGTTGCGGCCATGGAAACGGAAATAAAATTCATCCCTGGACGGCCTGCTGCAGGGAAATAGGGACCACCAATGCTGCCAGAACATGGATAAGTGTATCCGGTGCCATCAATGGATCCCTACCTGAGATCGCACACCCACCAGGTAAGCCACATGAGAGCGCGACCCAGTGTCCAGACCAGTGGGCAACCAAAACCTGGATGAGCCAATCAGGAACTGGCTGAGAATCAAGAACATATACTAAACAATTCCATAGTTCACTATAGTGGCTGGATATCAATTGATCCTGCAGTGAAGTGGCTCATCTAAACACTATTACTGGAGTTGAGTGTAAATATTTAGACAGAGTATACTCATTTGTTAACAGATGCCAATTCCTGGAAATCACCAGTAGCAGTATCTGCACAGAATATCGTGTAACAATCTTCACAGTTTCAGTATCTTTCTGGTTGGCATTACCATATAACGAACATATTCTAGGCTGGGCCCAGGCTTTGCTGTAGGCCTTCCTAAGCAGGGTCCGTGAATATCCTCTAGCAATTAGATTTGTCGTATAACTTCTGCCTGCTCTTTAAAGTCAGCATTAAAGGAGCAAGTTCAGATACTGTGTAAAAGGAATACTCCTAATTAAAGGAGCAGGGTACGAACTGGTAATATACAACAAGGTATTACCTGCACTCTGTTTACAGTAAAGATTGGTGGCTATATACCAATCAGGTCCAATGGTGACCTAAAGATCCAGAAAATACACTTTTTTGTCACTGTAAGTATGTGTAAACTTCAGATTGCAGTCATTAATGTTTAATGCCTCCAAAAAAGAGCATAAATAGACTTCAGAGCCTGTCCAGATTATCATCAGATGATCAATGAAATGGAACCAGTAAAGGATAGAGGGTAGCCATGGTGCATGTGAATCGAGAAGATCACTCTTTCACAACCCCGTATGATGGTGCACAACATGTGCCCATGGCAACTCGAGTTTGTAAAAACAAATGTAAAATACTTCTTAGTCAAAATAAATGAAAGTAACTCCAAGATGAACCTATTCAGTGGCTAGGTTGATTGCTCTTGTTCCATGAGAATGGACTCAATCATCTGGATACTCCGCTCGTGCGGGATACTAAAGTGTAATGCCTCTATATCCACAGCAACAAGGAGGGCACCCAGGGGAATATGAGTCCTCTCAATATGTTTGAGCAAATCA